GTCTTTTATAATTTATATTAATCGAAATGGGGTAAATTGCTATTGATCTCAACATCATTTCAAATCTATAAAAAATTAGCAATAGATTCAATATTGGTGTAAATTGACAAGTGATTCCAAATTTTTGGCTGGTAGTGTACATACACACTGAATACACTTCGACCACACCTCGTATAGTGAATTTCCTCTGGGATTGACTTTCCCAAGGAAAAATACGCATTTTCACCCTTCACATTCACACGCTTTTCTAAAATAAAACAAATCTCTTCTAGCTTAAACCTAACTCTTATTGTCAGCCTAAACACGCCTGAGCCAACGCTACAATCGCACAATAGGTGCTTTTTCCTCGGCCACCTACACTACAGACTTCTCAAAGGAAAATTAAAAATTCATAAATCGATGCAGGATGCAATACGTGTAGCAACAGCGTAAAAAATCCTCGTTACAGTGAGACCAGTGTAAAATCTGATCTTCGTATAAAGAATACAAAAGATGCACTTACGTGCATTAAAAAATTCCACTCGTGCAGGATGGACCCAATAATTAAAAAACCAAGCATAGCGAGCATACTTGCCACGAGGCGAGCCGGACGGGAAATTAAACGGCGAATAATTCAGGCTAGTCGCCAGCAGCGCGCAATTTAATATTGTAACGTAACTTTCTGACCTCCTTTTACGGCCCCTACCGGAAGTCTTAAATTCCACGCGCCGTGGCACTCGTAAATACTTAAAAACGTCAACTTCGCGATATCTTTTACCCTTACGGCGACGTCGGCGGCGACAAGCGAGAAAACATCGATCGTTTTCGCGCGTTAAATAATAAACACGTCCAAGATCTAACGATACGGCTAATGCATTGTCCCGCGGAGAAAGCGTAAAGGGAAAGAAACGCGGAAGAAGTCGACAGCTTTTTACGAGAACTGTTCAACGGCGCACTTTGCGCGTGAAACTGTTCAAGCTGAGCTTGAAGAGTTGCACTCGCGTTTGAACTTTCTGTGACATTTATTGAGCGTCCGGACGTCACTGGGTGTACCGAGGACTTGAACGTAGTCTTGTGAGGATACTTGTA